GAAGGTTAAAATGAATTGGCTCAAGCATGGGGACTGCAATTCCAAATTCTTTAATGCATACACCTTGCAGAGGAGAAGGATGAATGCTATATCCAGACTTGTCTTATCCAGAGGGGAAGAGCTCTCATCCAGGCAAGCTATTCAAGCACATATTGTTGAATTCTACTCAGCCCTCTTTTCCACTAAAGGCTCATGGGGAGGAGACTCTGTGCTTCACTTAATTCCTCAAACCATCATCTCTGATATGAACTCAGCCCTGCTGCTACCAGTAGAAGAAGAGAAAATAAAGGCTGCTTTCTTTTCCCTTCCCCTAGACAAAGCTCCTGGTGAAGATGGTATCAGTGCCTTTTTCTACCAACATCTCTGGTCTCTCTTCCATATGGAATTTGTTGCTGCTGTTTTTAGCTTCTTCACCTCGGGCCAGATTTTGCAATACTTGAACCATACTATCCTGTCCCTAATTTCTAAATGTGCCTCCCCAGATTCCTAAGCCAATTCAGGCCAATCAGCTTATGTTCAGTGGTCTATAAAGTGATTTCTAATGTTCTTGCTCAGAGATTACAGTCTTGTTTAGAAGGATGTATTAGTAGCCACAAGTCAACATTCATTAAAAGAAGACAACTCCTTGATAATGTCATAGTAACTCAGGAAGCTTTCCACTTTCTGAACAAACACTCTTCACGTAAGAACTATTTCATGGCCCTTAAGCTTGACCTTATGAAAGCATTTGATAGGGTGGAATGGCTTAGTATTAAAAAGATTATGATTCAAATGGGGTTTCATATCAATTTTTTGAATCTTATTATGACATGTATTACTACCACATCAATTTCTTTTAAGATCAATGGAGAGGTTAGTGGTTTTGTCTACCCTTCCAGAGGAATTAGACAAGGAGATCCTATATCTCCTTACTTGTTCTTGATTATCTCTGAAATCCTGTCAGCTCTGATTTTGGATGCATGTTCTTCTGGTAACCTTAAGGGGCTGAAGCTATCTCAGAATGGTCCAACTATATCACACCTCCTATTTGATGATGACTCAATATTTTTCTGTAAGGCAGGGGTTGATCAAAATCATATTCTCTTGGACATTTTGAATAAGTATAAGATTTTTACTGGGCAATCTGTTAATCTTCAGAAATCAACTATATTCTTTAGCAGGAATACTTCTTCAGTCCTTCAGTCTAGCATTTGTTCAGCTCTTCAAGGAGTTTAATCTCACAGGTCCACTAGATATCTTGGCCTTCCTTTGGGCATTGGGAGGTCTAAGAAGGAAGTGTTTGCATATCTTCTGCAATCCATTCACAGCAAACTCCAATCTTGGAAGTCAAATCTTCTTTCTTATGCAGGCAAGATAGTGCTGATGAAGGCTGTTCGGCAGGCCTTGCCAATATTTACAATGCGTTGTTTTAAGCTGCCAATCTCCATTTGCTCAGCTATTTACAATCTCCATTAAGCTGCTAATCTCCATTTTCAAAGGCATACATTGGAAAAGCTGGGAGAAACTCACTATACCAATGCAGAATGGAGGACTTGGGCTGTTAGATATCAAGCTCTTCAATGGAGCCCTTATCTGCAAACAGCTTTGGAGAATCTCCAATCAACCTGACCTCCTTGTCAGTAGGGTGATTAAGGACAGGTATTTTCCCAATTATTCTATCTTTCAAGCAGCTAAATCTCAAAAAGGATCTTGGTTATGGAACTGCTGGATGGATGTTCTTCCTACTTTTACTAAATGGTTAACTATTGAAATTAGAGATGGGGCTTCTACTAGAATCTCTGATTTCAATTGGGTGCCTGCTTTGTTGAAACCTACTCCTGACATCCTTGATATTTCCAGAGACCACCTTATTTTTTTTAAAGACATAATGCAGGCTGATGGTGCTAATTGGAATGAGTGGCTTGTTAAACAAGTCTTTGACCAGAATGATAGCACTGCCATCTTGAATATTAGAACAATCAGAGCAGATAAGCCTGATAGACTCTATTGGGCTCTTGACAAGAAGGGAAGGTTCTCTGTAGCAAGCACTTATGCTTTCTTGGTGGTTCAGAAAGTCAGGAAGTTGGATTTGCCTGAATGCAGCACATCTCTTAATCCATGGCCTCTTACTCTGAAAAGAACTTGGTCTTTGAAAGTTCTGATGAAAATCAAATTTTTTATCTGGAAATGTCTTTCTGGTGCATTGCATGTACTTGTTAATCTGAAATGCAGGGGCCTTGAAATTGATGTCATTTGTAGATGCTGTGGAGAAGCACCAGAAACTGTTGAGCATGCCCTGCTCCAATGTCCAAGAGCTTGCACTATTTGGGATCTTGCTCCAGTCTCATGGCCTGACCACAATATGTTGAAAGATTCATTCAGATCATGGTGGATTGCTATCTGCAGTATTGGTCATTCAGAGTTTGCAGAGGAAAGAATTCAGCTTTCTACTTATTTTCTCTGGTGGCTCTGGAAGACCAGAAACAACTGGATTTTTTAGCACTCAATGCCTCCTCCCCACATTGTCCTTAAAGCTGCAATGTCTGATTGGGGGGATTTTCAGGCTGCATCTCGGTCTCCTTAGTGGTGTTCTTTCAGAGTTTTTGTCTTGTTTTCTGTTTTAGAACAGGGTTTGGCTAGGCTTTGAGGTAGTGGTTCTCATTCTGTTCGTTTTTTTTTCTCTTTGTGGTTTCTGTTGAGGTTCTAGGCCATCCTGTTGATGTGCCTCTCATGTTGATATTGTATGTTTTGGAACTATGTATTTGTTTTCTTTCAGTTAATAGATATCTCTATCGTTCCGGTAAAAAAAACAATAATAATATATAAAAAAATTAAATAAATCAACTAAAATACTAAATGTATTTTTAATATGAACAATACATTATTTTAATCAAGGTAATTCGATTAACCCAACGAATAATCAAGTAATCCGATTCGGTTTCAAGTTTAATTGGGATAAAATTCTATCGATTCATAATGCACAATAATGACAGAACCGTGCATAATAGCACAAGATAAATTGCAGATTAATAACTGTGGGAGTGCACAACAACAAACAGCCTGACAAAAAACAAAATGTTTGATTTGATTTTTATATTTCAACTCAATTATCCTTTTATTTTTTTACTTTTAATTAAACGATTGCTTCGGTACAACATCTACTTTTATTTAAGAAAAAAAAACCCCAAAATAACTATTCGACCGAAAAATGAAAAAAATTAGTATTGATATTATTATTATTATTATTATTATTATTATTATTATTATTATTTCAATATATATTTCGGTTCGGTTTTATTTTGATTTGTGACAAAAATTCAATCAATTTGATTCACTTATTAATATTGTGCAAACTATTAATTAACATGGTGTAATCTTCAACTTTTAAAAATTATAAATTCAACCCATGAACTAAGTTAATGTGTAAAATTTCGGTCTAACCGGTAACCACTGGTCCGACCAGTGAACCATTGAACCAATAGCTCGACCGGTTCGTTGACCGTCCGGTTTTATGATAATTATACTCAACAATTACAAAGTTGGTTTATGATTGAGGATTTATCTTTAAAACAAAATCTGTGTTTGTTTTTTGTAATTTTGATTTTCTTAGTTATTTTATAAAAGAAAAAATAAAGATTGTTAATAGGCATCATCTTGGTTTGGCATTATTTAATCACCGTATAAAGTTTGAACCATGACGTTGGACAAACGATTGGTAACACCTCTGCTAAATTCAATATTCTCAAACTAGCTGAGCTGTATATCAAATCAAATTAGAGTGTTGCAATTACTTTGTCAATGCAATCAATTGAATAGTCCCACCGACGCATCAAACTTGCTCTAATTAGGTAATTTAAATTTCATTTACTAATGACATTTCTAAATTTTATAATTAAAGATGTGTTTCTCTTATAGTTATTTTCTCTTGCCATATTTCAATCATTTTTTATTAATCATTAATTTTTTCGATTTCTAAGTTATAAAATTGTGTATACCATATAATTAATTAGAAATTTTTAGGATCGCATCTCAACTTTATTAACATTGGTATCCTAAAATTTTGCGTGTTAATCACTTAATTGGCATTCATTTGCAATATTGAGTTACATTTTTTGTTTTTTTGTTTTTTTGTTTTTGTTTTTTTTTTTTTTTTTTTTTTTTTGAGATTTTAGACTTTTTAGATTTTTCAAATTTAACAAAAGTCCTTGTAAATCTTATGGAGGTGGAATTTGGGATGATATTTCGAATATGGTTTTTGTTACGTTAATGACATCTCATCAAATCTTAAAACAACCCTAGCAAATTCTAGTGTCAAATAAGTTAAAATAACCTGTGATTTGTTAAGAATTATGTAAAAAAATTTAAGAGTTTAAATTAAATACATTATTATTCTAAAAATCCCAAAGAATTTTTAAGAACTCCGAAGAAAAAACTAGTTGGGAATATTGAAGAATAATTTGAAATTTTACCCAAGTAATGTGATAAAATTTTGAAACTCCAAAATATTTGAGCGCGCACTACAAATTTGTTGAGAAATCTAAATTTTACAGATTTCAAATTTATAAGTTCAAATCTCTGTTCATGTTTAGATTTTCAAATCAAAGAATTCAAACTCTTCACTCGATACTTAGCCTGAGGATGTTTATACCCATGAAATGACGATCACATTGACATTTGAGGATTGTTGGACAAAATTTAAAATTATTTGCAATGACGCGTTCACAAAGGATCAACAAAATAAATAAGTACTAAGTACTAATATAATACATTAATATTCGTAAATTTTATCCTAGACTTGTTATTAGTGCCATGAAAAAGAATTTAGTGGGCTAGCAATACCATCCTTATAGTTGACATTGACAAACATGTATAACCTTTGGCCACACTGTTTCATTTCCATTAAACAAATCAATAATGAATTGCATCTCACCACTATATAAATAATCTTACTCACGTTCCCTAAACCACACAAAATACAACCCTTGAATCCCTTTAGTAGAAAACTTGGGAGCATCCACAAAATGGGGACGCTTGCGATGATGAGCTGCTTGCGCCACTTTGCTTTATCACTCGCCTTTTGTTTGATAGCCACCAATGTAGTCGCCGATGAACCTGGACCGAATTCGTATGTCTACAGATCACCGCCACCTTCTTATGTTTATAAATCACCACCACCATCTTCATCATCCCCACCTCTTCCTTACATCTACAAGTCACCTCTGCCACCTCCGCCTTCGCCATCTCCGCCACCACCATATATTTACAAATCTCCTCCTCCACCGTCGCCTTCACCACCACCTCCGTATATATACGAGTCTCCACCTCTTCCTAAAAAATCTCCTCCTCTACCTTATACTTATAAGTCACCACCTCCACCATCGCCATCACCACCACCACCATATGTTAACAAGTCCCCGCCACCACCATCTCCAGCGCCGCCACCTCCTTATGTCCACAAGTCTCCGCCACTTCCAGAAAAATCTCCTCCTCCACCACCATCTCTATTTCCGCCACCTCCTTATGTCCACAAGTCACCTCCGCCACCTCCGCCTTCGCCATCTCCACCACCACCACATGTTAACAAGTCCCCTCCACCACCATCTCCAGCGCCGCCACCTCCTTATGTCCACAAGTCTCCGCCACNCTCCTTATGTCCACAAGTCACCTCCGCCACCTCCGCCTTCGCCATCTCCACCACCACCATATGTTAACAAGTCTCCTCCACCACTATCTGCATCGCCACCACCTCCTTATGTCCACAAGTCTCCGCCACCTCCAGAAAAATCTCCTCCTCCACCCTATATTTATAAGTCGCCACCTCCACCATCTCTATCTCCACCGCCACCATATGTTAACAAGTCCCCTCCACCACCATCTGCATCGTCACCACCTCCTTATGTCCACAAGTCTCCGCCACCTCCAAAAAAATTTCCTCCTCCACCCTATATTTATAAGTCGACACCTCCACCATCTCCATCTCCACCGCCACCATATGTTAACAAGTCCCCTCCACCACCATCTGCATCTCCACCACCTCCTTATGTCCACAAGTCTCCACCACCTCCATCAAAATTTCCTTCTCCACCTCCTTATATTTATAAGTCACCATCTCCTCCTTCACCATCATCGCTACCTCCATATGTTTATAAGTCTCCTCCACCACCATCACCATCAGGGGCGGAGGCACTTATACGGTTCCCCGGGCTGTAGCCCGGGCTGACTTTCACGCAAAACCAACATTATATATACAAATCTTATTTTGTTTTGTAGTTAGCATGCCAATAATTTAACCAAATAAATAATTCTATCAACCAATTATACATACATGCTTTGCCCAAGTCAATTTCTCTTTCACCTAATTTCTTACTATTGGTATTTACTAATATAAAGGGATATATTTAGAAGGTATATCTCGATTATTATTATATATTGAGCTAAAATTTTGCTTTAAAAAAATAATTAAGAGTAAGATAGATATTTAAGATTTTGGTTATGATCGTAACTAAATATATTTTTATTTTATTATTTATATGGTGGAAGATATATTTTCTTACGAGTAGAATATGATATTTTTCTTCTTATTATTTTGTTTTTAGTTTTGTAATTCCCTTGCAACCATCCAAATATCAATGCAGATTCAAATTGATGAAATCTTAATGTTAATGATAAATATGTAGGGAAAATATTGCCTGAAATCTTAATGTTAATGATAAATATGTAGGGAAAATATTGCCTTATTTGCAATTAGACACGTTCTCGATTATGAAATAACTGATTTGTAACCGACTTTGGTTGGCCAAAAATCCAAAACAGTAACAATTACCAATATTGGCACTTCGTAGTCAGTTGTTACACTGACGGTTACTATTCCGGTCCGGTTTGGATCGCTGGTTTTCGGTCGAACAGTCATTTTTTATTTATTTCTAATGCAAAAAATTAGAAAAATCGTTAGCAACTACCGATTTTCAAAAAAGCATCGCTTTTACAAAGGAATATGGTTTAGACAGTTTTCCACCATTTATTTTTCTGAATTTTGTGAAATCATTAACTGCTTTTTTTGGGTTCTCCTCCCAAAATATTCAAAAAACTATTATTTTCTTTTTCTATTTCATAACCAAACCTTCGTTTACAGTTCCTACATTTTGCAATCCCTAATCGAACTGCCAAATTGTAATAGGAATCACAGTCGATGGTTAACAGAACCATTGATTGACGGTTCGGATCGCCAATTGTTAGTTTACAAACCTTGAACATGTCTATTTGCAATATTTCATATTTTCTTAAATAATTATAGCCCAGGTAAACTTTGAATCCTAGCTACGCCCCTGATCACCATCCCGACCTCCGCCACATGCACATTACTAAAGTTCATTCCATTGCTTCGTCTCATGATTAATTATTAACCCACAATTGCGTCTTTCTTTAAGTTTATATATTGTGGGAATATGAATATTCAAATGCTTATTTGATTATCCGATTTTTTATTTTGCACACTTTTGTGTTTCAATAAATAGGGATCCTAATATTATCCCTATCTATGCTTGAGCATTTTACTGTACTGTTATCGTTTAAGATTTCTTTTGCGTCTCATGAATATTCATATCCGGTTAAGGCAGATTGTTTGTTCCAACTACACACTTGAAAACTACTACGCCATTTTTTTTTTTTTACTTTCCCTGCTGAACATGTACGGTAAATATATTTTTATAGTAATAAAGAAAAGATCCTAACATTATGTAACCTTAATTTAAAAAAATAAAAACACTTGAGTAACGCGGAATCCATTATGTTTAGACTATATTTTATCAATTTCAAAATTTCACATGGTATTAGGATAATTATTTGGAAAAAAATTAAATAGTAACTTATTACATAAGCAATTCGTAGCCAATTTATCAGATCGGATTTTACAGTCGAAACAGTTTGGCGCCTGACTGTTTCATTTACTATTGGATTTTGGCAAAATATGATAAACTCTTTTGGGCCAATAACTCATTTTCAATTTTTTGGCGCTAATTTTCTACATTAGTAGATTATCTTCTTAGCTAAAATTACATAGAAGTTTAAAAATAAAATTCTTCTTCTTTTGTTTCTTCACCAGAATACAACTCTGGCGACGACAGTAAGAAGCACCAAATGAGCAGCCCTACGACTATTATCTTCCCCCACCCAATACATAGATATGAATCGGCGTACAAATACAAAGAAATAAATACAGAACAAAAAACATAAAATAAAAATAAAATGTTTAAACATGAAAAAATTGTGTTGCATAAGGTTAAATTCACTAAAAATTGAAATTTACTTATCAAATATTTTAACATTTCATGCCCTTAGAATTATAATGATGAAAGATGTATATAATGGGTTATACAAGTTGGTATATTACAAAAATGTGCGATTTATGGATTATTAAAAAAGTTATAAGACTAAGATAATTGACAATTATTTTTTTTTTCCGAAATGATAGAGGAATTATATATCAAAACGTACAACTGTGCAAAAAGCAGCCCAAGGCTGAATATTACAACCAAGAACCAAAAAACTGAGAGGACGGATCGGAAGACCACCTAGAGCCTCGCTAGCCACACTAGAATAGAAAACAAACTACACACAACTAAAAAAACACCAACACGACAAACTACGATCGCTCCCCACAAGAGAATTGAAACATAATAGACAATTATAAGCACATATAATTAATTTTTGTGCAAATATCACATGATCTTGTACATTTATAATATTTTTTAAAATTATAAATAATATATTTATATATTAAATAGTCAAGATCTACAAAAATAATTAGAAAATATAAAAAAATAATAAAAATAAATTATTAAAAATTAAATATTGTGTTGAAATTTTAAATAATTTAATTATAATAAAATATTTTTTATAGTATACTTTGTGCACCCAGCACGAGTATCAATGCTAGTGCGTCAAAAAATCCTATCATCTTTTTTTTTTTTTTTTTGCCAAAACGATAGAAAATCCTATCATCCTTAAATTGTGGCATATCTACAAAATTTTGAAAATACAAATTTTATCTTATCAAGAATCTTCTATCATGCTTAAACTGTGGTATATCTACAACATTTTTTAAAAACTATTTTCATCTTATCCAGAATCTTGATTTTATAAAAAACTCTCTCTCGCCTCTCTCTACTGCTCTCTCTCTCTTTAAAACCGAAAGCCAGATCTGTAGCCGGTTACCTTCCTCAGCCGGCAGCGGCCTTAGCCGGTGGTCGATGGCCTCAATTAGCTTGGATCTTGCCCCCTATTTTCTGCTCCTTCTTCCGATTTTTTTGGTTTGGGATCCCGACCGTCGAGGTGTGTTTCTCCGTCGGTTCGTGGATTTCGGTTTGGGCTTTCTCTGCGGTTCAAAGGAGGAGTCGTGGTGCGGTTCCAGGGGTGGGACTCGGCCTGTTTGCTCGGCGATTCGTTTTTGCTGGGCAGGGGCGACGACGGATCTAGCGACCATTCCTGTTGTACTCGGTTTCGAGTGGATGGGGACCGTAATGTCAAGCTGCGGTGGTGTGGTGGTTGCTGGGGTGCTTCCAGGCGATTGGGGCCGGGGCTGGGTCGTGGCTTCCTTTTGTTCGTTCAGGGCATTTGGGTGCTATGGCGTGGTGCGGGTCGGACAAATGCGATTTTGGGTTGGAGGTTTCGGCTCCGTTAGGTAACCGAGTGGTTTTGGCAGTTTTGGGTCGGTGCTTTTGGCTTCGGGATCTGTGGTCGACTTGGTTCCGCTGGTTATGGTTTGTTGTTGTGGCTTAGGAAGGGTTCGTTTAGTTTATGTTGTTTAGTTTTGTCGTGTTTTTGTTGTAGGTCTTGTAGTTTTGTTTGTTGTTTTTAGTCGTGTTTTTTAGGTCTGGGCGTTGGTCTCTGTGAACCCGAGTGTCACTTTATTACCCTGTTGGGGTCCGATACTCGGGTATTACCCTGTTGGGGTCTCTGTGTTGTGTTGTATTTTGTGTTTTTTATTAACCTGTTGGGGTCGGATCTAGGCGGTCGGATCTCGGCGATCTAATGACCTGTCCTCTCTTTTTTATTCAGTTGTTGGCTACTGTGTATTCAGCCGTTGGCTGCTGTGTATTTGCATATTTGTGCTTTTTTTTATTTATAACATTTCTATCGTTTCGAAAAAAAAAGAATCATGATTTTATAGCATTTAATTCGAAATTCATATACTTACTAAATATCATCCAAAATATAACTTATCATCTGATCTATCTATATCTATATTCATATAAAAAGGTTATTATAAAATTACATTAATTGAAAGTTTGACCAAATAAATATAATGTTTGACTTACTATTAATGGAAAATTTGAAAAAACACATGTAAATCTTTAGTAACAAAATTTGAATCCTATTTTTTTGGTAACAAATTTTGAGATTCTTATGGCCAAATTAGAATCCCTTTTTTTGTATCATATTTTATTTTTTTACCAAAATTGAAATCATATCTTTTTTGGTAATAAAATTGGAGATTCTTATGCAAAAAAATGTGTTAATTATTTATGAAAATAACTCTACATACAAATTAATTTAAAAGTCGTGCAAATTGGATACAAATTTAGGAAACAAATAGTTGCATAATTTTTAACTAATTCTTCCAATCTTATTGATTATTTTTTTCTTTCAAAAAAAGTGTAAATTGGAAATCGACGTGCAATGTTTATTTTAAAATAAAACTGATATTTGGACGGGATGTACATTCAAAGTTGTGTCCACATTTTTTGGTAACAAAAGCAGTTCATCTTTGATATTTAAAGTCATCTTATCCAATTACTTAGGAACAATTGTGTGCAACTTTTCAAAATTTTAATGCACCGATTTTTTTGGAATCTTATGTTTTTTCTTAACCATGTTTTACCGAGGTTTTGGTAAATTCATATCATTTTTTTTTGTTAACTTCATATCATTTTCCTTAGGAAAGAGACAATTGCACAAACATTTAACAAATTATTTTGATTATTTTCAATTCAATTTATTTGGTAAAAAAATCGGTGCAATGTTAGGAAAATTTCGGTTGCATTTTTAGGAAAAATTGATGATTTTTTTTATTTGGTTTTAAAAAAATATTCAGATCAATTTGTTTGATAAGGAAATCGGTTTATTGGTAGAAAAATCGGTTTTCTTTTCAGGAGTAACTAATGATTCTTTTAATTTTCCTTAATTGAAATTTAGAATTAGATTTAAAATAA